CCCTGAGAGTTTTTGCTGTCCAGCCACCCGCTTCCTTGTTCCCTGTGAACCTCCCCCTCACCTGCTGTAGCTCCTAGTGCTGTGCTGGTTCGTGCGTGCCTGGCAGGATGTGGGGGTGTGCACATTCACAACAGAAGCATGACCTAACTCCCCAGGGTGACAATTTTTCTCAAGTTGAAGATGGTTCCAATGAAGCAGGAGGACAGGGGTATTTTAGCTAAGTAATATGAAACATTATTTTTGTACTAAAACAAACACGGATGTGTTATAAGTGGAATGTAATCTTGACATTAATTTTTTTAAATGACAATGAGACTTTGAAGAAATTCGGTATCTGTGGAGGACAGCTTCTGCCCGCACCCACAGATTTCTGCCCTTACACATTTTCAGTTTTCTCCACCTAAACACTGGGAAATACTTGCCAGAATTCCAAGCTGCTCTTCATTTATTTGTCAGTTGCTGCAATTCACCAAATTGAGCAACTATGATGTGCCAGGCCCTAAGAGTATCAGTATGATTTGAAAATATCCTAACATTTAAATACCTCACTGTTTAGAGATTAATCAGGTAAACCAGCCACAACAGAATGTAGTAACTTTTATAATAAAGGGGATCTGCCTGGCAGTGCGGTATCACGTACAAGGTAGCATTAACTCTTTCAGACAGAACCAAAGAAGAGTTCAACCTGTGATGATCTGAATGTATTCTTTAAATTTGTTGGGGTTTTTTCTACCATATCTTCTATCAACAAAGCTTGCCTTGTGCATTACATTTCTCTGTCTAATAAACTTACTTTGCAGAGTACCAAATTCATATAGAACATAATGTATGGTTTGGAAGCTTGGAAAGGGTAATGGTTAAACACATTGTTGTGGGTTGAAGTGAGTTTTTTAAAATGTTGGAGTCTCAACCCCTAGCACTCAGAATGTGACCTTGTTGCAAAATAAGGTCTTCCCAGAGGTGATCAAGTTAAATTGAAGCCACAAGAGTTACCTTGGCTCAATGTGTCTGGTGTCCCTATGAAAGAGGGAAATGTGGACACGCAACCAGGGAAGACAATGGGCAGACACACAGAAAGCAGGTGGCCATGTGACGAGAGGCACAACTAAGCAGCCCTCAACTTTGATGGCAAATACCAGAAGCTGCAAGAGGCAAGGAAGATTCTCTCCTAGACACATCAGGGAGAGAGAAAGCAGGCCCCCACCACACCTTGAGTTCAGACTTTCAGGCTTCAGAGATGTCAGGCAATAAATTCCAATTGTTTTCAGTCACCTGCTTGGTATGGCAGCCTTAGGAGACTAGTACACACATAGTCTCCATTTTGGTGTACGTTTATAATGTTCCAAAAGTAAAGTCCATCTTTCTCTTTCTGGCAGCACCCACTCCTTGAAGATCACCCCCAAGTGAATTTCTCTACTTCCCTGCCTCTGAAAGTGCCATCACAAGGGGGCAGCTTTGCTGTCACCATCAGCAGGAGAAGGGAACTTGCTAAAAATGCCCCATACTTTGGGTCCCATCCAGCTCTACTGAAGTCAGAAACTGGGTTCTGGCTTGAGAACCAACCACTGCTCTACCACGTGGTCACTCAATCTCCCTGTGCTTCCAAATCCTACTCTATGTCTTAGATTCAAGATTCCTATTGGGAATTTTCATCTTCTGAAATTTAACAATAATAAAAGTAAACTACAGCTTTCATATTACTGTCCTCCAACTAATCCTGTAAAAGCCCAAAAGAGTTTCTTAGGAAAGACTTTTAATTTGGGGATTGACAAAATTAGCAACACAGAGATTTTTGAAATTTTCTCGCACATGTTGCAGTGCCCTGCTATCTTCCACCAGCCCCAGGGTGCATGTCTTCATGCTATAGAATATCTACCCTGACTCACCAGGTAGCCTCATCCTCATACGTTATTTCTCATGATACCCCGATATCCAAAATTCTTCCTCTCCATTCAATAAATGTCCACTCACTCAGATGATTGGTCTCAAACGGGCATCTGGGGGATACTTAAAATGGTTTGGATCTGGCTTCAGTGTGTCTCCAAGGGAACTTCTAAGAGGTAGAGCCAAATGGGAAGTATTCACTGGCCCCTCCCCAAGCTCTGGCTTCCTGTCTTGTCTCTTTCACATGTCCCCACCTTGATGCCATCAGCCACGATGTGACCCCAGTCAAAGGATCCACCACCAGAGACCAAATTTGTGGGGCTCCCAGTCTTGAATTTTCAGCCTCCAAAACTATGAGTAAAATAAACTTCTTTTCTTTATAACTACACAACTTCAGAAATTTTATTATAGTAACAGAAAACTGACTAATACAATGATTGCATTGATTAATTTAGAATTAAAATATTAATGACTAGTAGACTTTTCTCCTTAATTGGCCTGGTTGAATGGTTTTTTAAAGGTGCTTTTTCACCTGAAAGAACTCTATTTGAAAAGATTTCAAGAACTATGCCAAAATAAAATGCAGGTCTTTGTTTTTATTTTTGATAGTAGGCTTGAAGAAGGGGGTGGTCAGTGCCCTTTAAATTACAGCAAATCACAGAACAAATATTCGCCTCACATGAGGCCAGTCCTGCTTGGCAACTCGCTTCCATCCCTGGGTTACCAGCCTGCCAGCTTGTCAACCTTGAGGAGATGGCATGAGGCTTATCCTTCCAGTTTTGCTGCATCCCATATAAGGAAGGTTTTTTGAGGGGTTGTTTCATTTTTGGTATTTTAGATATTTCAATTTCTTAACAGGAAATTTTAGCTGCTGTTTTGAATCTCATTGAAGTATTTTGTATGCATGCCCCAGGCCCCCAGGCTAGGGTGTATGTTTAATAAATCAAGCAAATAGATTCCAAGCTTTGTACTAACCAAAATGTCCTCATGCTTTTAATGGTGGCCTCCTAGATAAAAACCCTGCAAAACACACGAATAATGCCTCCTTGGTTGGGGGCAGGGGGAAGTTAAAAAGGAAAATGAAATTCAGAACATAAATTCTCCTGGAAATTGGTCCCCAGTTCCCAATGTCTAGAGATCACTCTGAACTCAAGATTGTGTATAGGAAGGAAAGGAAAATTAATGTGTAATGGACATTGTGCCAGATGCTTTGGCTCTGTTATGGGACTATTGGGATAAGTGACTTCAGCCAATCAGTACAGTCCCCTGAAGAGAAATTCCAATTCCTGGTCAAATGTTAGGACTGATTTAAATTTGCCTATGTAACACATCAGCGAAGGTTAAGTCATTAGTAGACTTTTTTCTAAACCAACTGCTTGCCCTCAAACCTGAGCAGAAACCAAGACATCAGAGGAACAGACCAAGGTCATTTCGTCAGTCTAGGTACTGTTTTAAATAAGGACACATAGGGCTAGGGATTTAGCTCAGTGGTGTCGCCACCTGCCTCACAAGCGGAAGATCCTGAGTTCGATCCCCCATACCAAAAAAAAAAAAATCAGGGCACATGTCGTCTCTTATCATTGAAGTGTCCAGTGGGAAGATAAGTTCTGGGGTCTGCTTAATTGAGCATCCTAAAATTGTCATTAAGCAATGATCTGGTTCTTTCCACCTCTTGCTCCACCTTTACAAGTCAGTCAACTTGTCAACCCAAGGTTTTTATCATGGTGACAAAATGGTAGCGGAAGTTCCAGGCTGCACACTGACAGGCACAGTACCAAGAAGAGCGACCCCATCTTTTCCTTTAATAACTTCCTCAGATGAGTGAAGATATTCTTTCCTAGAATGTCTCAGTGAAGTTCTCATGTGTATTCATCTAATATTTGCTGAGATAGACCATGTGGCAAACATTTGACACCTAGTAGGAAACAAAACAAAATCTTCTCCCTTCATGGAACTTCTAGCAGAAGCTTTTATTTCATTGTCTCTTCAGACTAATGTGTGCTGTCCTCTGACCTCTTAGGTTCTGGTAACCTCAATTTCTTCCTTTTTGCTTTGCACCCCAGCCTTATTTGTGGTAACAGCTTTTAGTAATCTGGCATACCTCAGTGTCTGCTTCTTCTTTTTAAACCTGTGAACAATTTTGTAACCAATCCCTTCTATTAACCACCACCACCCCCATTGAAAGAATAAGTATTCATCTTATTTTCTTGCAGGGATGCTGCTGACTGATATGGAATGAAAACCTAAAGAAACACTCACATGCTACTAGAAAAAAATTGGGATGCTAAGAGTAAAACCTAGATAGACACTGAGTCCTTCTGTATAAGCACCAAATCATTTATCACTAACTGGAACACTCCCGAGCAAAAGCCATAGGGATTTAGAACTGATTTCTGAAAAAGATGTCATACATCTTGGCATCACTGGTAAGTGCATCTCCAGGCATCTACCTGCATGGATGGATTTGTGGTGAATGGAAAGAAATCTTGCAGGAGATATTTGCTGAATAGGCAAACAGGGAGGGAGACATTAACCAGCAAAAGGAAGGAAGGAAGGAAGAAGGGAGGGAGGGAGGAAGAAGAGGGGAGGGGAGGGGAAGGAAGGGAGGGAAGGAGGGAGGAAGGGAGGAAATGAGCAATAAGGAATTATAGGAAGACAGCATGTGATACTTGTCCAGACACATGATCTAGCTCTGTGCCCCGTGGAGAGAAGGGAGGCCACGAGGGAGGCTGACCAAAAGGAGCAAGCATTGCTACTTAAAGCTAAGCTGATCCTGGACTGGAATATTCTCTACCTGTACAGAACTCACATGCTCTGCTTCATTCTCTCTCTGGTCCCACTCTAATCAGTCTTTTGTGCCCCTCATTCCACCAAAACTGCTCTTGTGAAGGTCACAAGTGATGCTGCCAAGTCCATTGCTCAAACATCAGTGCTTTCCTTATTTCAATATCAGCATTGCTGATCTTTTGTATTCTTCTCCAAAAGCTTGTACTTTAGAGACATTCAGCTTCTCTGACCGAATGCCAAACAGCTAAAGAAAAACTAATCCATCATCTAATCCAATCAACTAATAAGAATGATGACAACAATAACAGCTAACGTTGTTGAGCACTTACCATGTACTAGACATTACTGTAAGCATCTTATGGGATTATCATTTAATCCTCATTGCAGTTCTATGAGATGAGCACTGTTATCTTCATTTTCCAGATGAGGACTTGCAGATACAGGAAGGCAAATTAACTTGCTAAAGGTCACCCAGCCAGGAAGTGGTGCAGCCAGACAGTCTCCATACTTCTATTACTTGACCTCAAGCAAATCAAATTATATATCAGAATTTTTAAATTATCACCCAGATATGTTTTGGTAATAGCTATATCAGAAAGAGGAAAAACTGAGCTTAAAGAGGTCAGGTAAAAGATCTCCACTCTTCTGCCTTCTTCATGTTACTACCTTAGCTCAGACCATGGCTGGCTGGGGCATGTTGATCTGCAGCCACAGGGGACAGCACCTCAGTCACAGGGATCAGGAGGGGTGTGCAGACCAGCAGGCAGGAAATCTATGGATGGCTGTCAACATTCGAGATATCAGCCCAAGGTTCACATAGAAGGGCAAAAGGAAACCTTGGAAGTGGACGATCCTCTTAACAAAGACCAGCGGAGGGCCCGGGATTTAGCTCAATGGTTTCTCCACCTGTTGCTCAAGCTCAAGGACCTGAGTTCGATTCCTGGTACCAAAAAAAAAAGATCAGCGGAGAAGTCTGTTGGAGCATCCCAGAGCCCCAGAGACCAAGCTGAAGTTCAGGGATAGAACTCTTATCCCTAGAAAAGGAAGTAGCAGAATAAAGTAAGATAGGAGCCCTAGAGACAATGATTTCCCAACAGGTTATAAAAATGAAGACTCAGGAGCAACAAACAAAGCACACAGAGAACCTGTTTGTCATGCTCCATTGTGTTTCTGCCCAGTACCTGGTACACAATCCATACTATTCTAGGAGTTGCAGTCATCCACACTCCAGGCAAATGCCTGCCACCAAAAGCATGCTCAAGCTCATGTGCAGTGGCTCCTGAGCACAGACACCCAGAGGAGCTGTACCAGGCTCTCTCAAGCTGGGTCTAAGAGCACTGGGCTAGGACTTCTAAATATTCCTAAGGATATATGAGTACTAAAGACCATGTTGAAGCTTGACATTCACTTTGGAGTCCTTAGAGCCAAGAGAGAGGGAATGTGAAGGATGAAAAATTAGATACACTAGGCAATTTCTTTTTATCTTTCTTTTCAGAAGTGTCTCTCCTATTTCTAACTTTCTATATAATTGTCCATTCAAGTCATATAGCTACAGAGGCTGGATGCATCAACAGACACCCTCAAAGTCACATAAAAAATGATGTGAGAGTCTGATTTTTTTAATAACCTTAGAAATAGAATCAATTAAGATCAGAAGCAGATTGCTCTCAAAAATTTGGTTTTTTCCTTTGTAAATACCCTCAATGTGTTGATTTTGACCTGGCTAAAATGTTACTTATATATTTTTTACCCTTATTTTAATATTCCCTAAAAATGATTAAATACTAAAATTAAATGGCATCAATATTCAGAATAAAATCAACCAATCTAAACAGGTGCCTTCAGCACAGAAGTACCTTTTTTAAAATTAATACTTGATTTTCTATTATCCAAAAAGCCAAGGTTATGCAAAACTATGAATTAGTTATAGCAAAATTCTCCTGTGCTCTTAAAATACTTTTCCTTTGTGACAGACAATGATGTATTTTCCTTTTTGTTGTTTTAACATCCCATAAACCATAAAGTCTGTCTCAAGTGAATCTTTAATTCCATGAAGTACCTGCACTATCAGAAGTTCATGTCACCCAAAGCCTAGCATTAGACTAATTTTTGCTCATGTAATTCCTTTCTACCCTTCTGCATTTTAATAATTCCATCTCACCAAAACTTCTTCTCTCCTAAATAAAGACAGAAGATAAAACATCAAGGAGATCAAGTTAACAACAACATGGCCCTGAATTTGAATTGAGAATAGCAGTATAAACAGTTTGATTGAGAATATAAAGGAAAATTATAAGACATAAATGTGAATACCAATTGGATATTTGGTAATACTATTAAGGAATCACTGCTGAATTTCTTAGGCATGTTAAAGATAGTATGGTTATGGTTTTTCAAAACTTTTTTCTTTTAGAAAGCCATACAAAAATATTTTCAAATATAATAATATGACATCTGAAATTTTCTGAAAAGTACTAGATGTAGAGATGTTGAATTTGGATGATGAGTATGTGGGTGTTAATGAAGCTTTGTATATGCACAACCATATGTATATACATATATGTATATGTACATGTACACGTATCTTCTGAGGCAACTTCACTATAAATTACTAGGGAGCCATACCTAACTCTCTTGGCAGCTCAACAATGCTTTTCCATAGAAACTCAATTGACATTTTTTTTGCAAACTAAGATACTTAATTCTCTTGCTTTTAAATATGTTTTTCCTCCATAAATTTACCTCCTTCTCTTTCTCAATCCATGGGAATCAGATGAAGTCAGATTGACTATGAATAAAGAGAACCCAATTAGGCAGAAATTCTGAAGGAAATAGATACATCTTTTAGGGGGGGTGGAGGGAGTAGTAAAATGCTGGATTTTTTTTCCCCAAGGAAATTACTGTCTACTATTAGTTTTCAATGCATTAAAGAAAAGCCTGTGGTTGCTTCGAGTTTGAGGATTAACAGCAGTCCTTTTGGATGGAAATAATAATAGCCCTAGATATCATTTCCATTTCATTTGTAAAGAAATTAATATTGAAGAAGGTTAAAAAAATTTTTTCTCCCCCATGAAAATGATCAAAGTATGTTATGTGCATGTACAAGTCATCCAAAGTGAAGCTCATTAGTCCATACAAGGCATAAAAATCCAACATCTAAGGAAAAACACAGCCAAGACTCAAGCCCAGGTCTCACTTGATCCAAGGCCCAGTTTCTCCACCAGCTGCCCTGGCCTCCTTCACACTTGGAGGGGCTCCTTGGGCCCACTGCTCCAGGGGTGAACACATTCCTTCATTAAATCCATGGCACGAGTTCCCAGGGCATCTTTAACAGGCTGGGAAATCCTGCTGTGACCCTCTGGTTAGTGCACTTCCGCATCTTCCAGATAGGTGCTTTCCTGCCAGTTCCTTTCTTATCCCTCACCCCACCCCATCACCACTTCTTAAATTATTCAATTCCCTCACGGTTTTGGGGCAAATGGAAGCCATCCAGGGGACAGTCCATCATCTTCCCTAAGGCAATCTGTCAGCCGGCCCTCATCTCTGACCCTGCTCTGCTGTCTGTCCTGATACTCTGACGGTGCATGGAATATTGTACACAAATCCTCCTTCCCCTCATTGCTCTGCTGGAGGGTTTTGATCATCATAATACCTTTTCCATGTATCTCTAAGCTCTCCACTGAAATAGCCCATCAGCATATAACCATGCTCTATAATCTAGCACTCATAAGAAATAAAACATAATAACACTGCCTATGGCAGTGAGGATGAAGTTTCAACTTGCTTGGCTTTGGGGACTGGTAGAGCACACATCTGGGTGAATCTAGGTGGGTCAAGGAGGCAGAGACTTGGGGTCTATGTCAGGACCCTCATCCCTTGAGGTCCCCTTCTCTGCTTCCCAGCAGGCATGAACTAAGCAGCTTTGCTCCACCACACACTTCTACCATGATATTTCTGCCTTGGAGCCAGCTGACCATAGACTGAGTCTCTTGAAACCATGAGCTAAATTAAACCTCTACTCCTTTTGGTTAAGGTAACAGGTATTGTGTCTCAGCAACGAGAAGGGTAACTAATACACTCCCCTTGGACACACATCCCCATTGCCCCACTTCATTGCTCTTCTTCATAGCAAAATTGCTTGGAAGAGAAGCTTCCAGAATAGTTTTAGAGTTCTATTGCACAGTGTAGTGACCACTATTAAATGTATTTTCTACTTCCAAATTGCTTAAAGAGTGGATTTTAAATGTCCTCACCACTAAAAAGATAAGTAAATGAAGTGATGGATATATTAGTTAGCTTAATTTAATCTTTCTACATTGTAACATATATAAAAACATCACACTGTACCCCACAAATATGCACAATTATTTGTTGATTAAAATTGCTTTAAAGGGCAGGGATTTAGCTAAGTGGTTCTGCCACCTGCCTCAAAAGCGCAAGGTCCTGAGTTCCATCCCCAGTACAAAAAAAAAATTGCTTTAATTTTTTAAAAATAATAAAGCACATTATTGCCTCCAGTGACTTCCTCTTCTTCCTACTTTTTCTCATTTCCCCCGCTACAATGAAGCATCCACAGCCACCGTAGAAACTGCCAATGGCAGAGGCTCCAATGACCTCCATCTTCCCAAAGGCAGAGCATGATTCTCCTAGCCAACATACTTGAACTCTCCATCCAGCTGAAAATGTCACCCCTGAGCTTCCATGACAACAAACCTTTTTGTACTGTATTATGAATGCAGCTGGGTATATTCTGGGAGCAGAAAGAAAAAGGTGGCAGGGAAGTTCTGAGTTATGGGGCAGTAGAATGACATGGATTTCAAATGCTAAGGACACACAGTGTCATACAGCACTCACAGGTGAAGAAGTATGGGAGGCCATGGGGGGTTCTAAGCAGGTGACTCCGGTGCTCCTAGCTTATGGGGGTAAAGACCACTCCAGCTGTCTATGTGCAGATGAACTGTGCATGTTTGAGAGTAGGAGCTGGGAAACAATTAGAAGGCTCATAATAAATTCATATTAAGTGTTTGTTGGCTTGACTTAAATTGGGAAGAAGAAAGAAAGGTACCAGCAACCAGAAATGTCTGGAAGACAGAAAGAGAACCAAAGAGGAGACTTCAGGCAGCAGATAAAGTGCTCTTAGAACTAGCAAGGGGATAATTCTGCCCATGGGATTTGGCCAACTCTCCAGGAAATCCAAAAACTGGTTCCATAAGGTTTCCTGTCTGTATGTAACCATGGTGCCCATTTGCTCCACTAAGTGGTAACATGCAGCCTTCTTTGTCACCTGTGGTTCCTATCAGGGGATGTTCAGCAGCAGGGAGAATGTGACTCATTATCCTCCACTGTATCTGTCATGTCACATTACTCTTCCAGCTCTGCCAGAACCCTCCAGAGGCTGATGCATTATGACTTGACACCAGTTACCCAGTGCTGGGCCTCATTACGGGGAGTACAAAGGCGTGAGCAAGGGGTAACCCGGTTTGACTATTCCCACTCTCCACAGCTTCATTAGTCTCTTGATC